GAATCGTCACTTTTGAACGATTCAGATCACGGCTCGACCTGTCCTTCGGGACATCCGTTAAAATTGGAACGATACAGAGAAGACTAGCATGGCCCTGTCTCTTATACACATCTAGACACACACACGCGCACGCACACACACACACACACACACACACACACACACACACGCGCACGCACACACACACACACACACACACCGCCGCTCGCTCTCCCTCCCTCCACCCATGCCAACAAAATGTGTGTGCTGATTGTCCTACCAGGACCGTTAAGGTTTCAATTCATTTCCAGGGAAAGGCAACAAGAACCTCAGACAACGAGCCCACTTCACTTACCCACCTCCCAGATTATTACAGACTGGAAAGCTTTCCATCCTTTCGGAAGAATTGCTCCCTAGGTAGCACCATCAAGGACATTACAAGTTCCAACAGTGGCAAACGGCAGTCAGAAGCAATTAGAAGCGGTGGATAGCAACGGCACAAGCATATGAAAGGGGATATGAACTGCGATTCTGACATGCATATGTGCAGCCAGTCTACAAGTCTGTCGTGTAATCCCAAGTTCATGATACACCATTTGTACAACAAGCTTCAACTTTCAATGCACATCCACATTTTGTCACATTCAAAAGCAGACCCACATGTGGACACATGCCAGACCTCCACGATAATGGACCAGCAGCAAAGGCATCATGCGAAAACGTACAACAGGCAAGATGTTCGAGAGACAGGAAAAACCTGACCTGCAAGGATAGACAAACCCACCTGGAAAATTTTCCCAATAAATTTCAGATTCTGCCTCGATCACACACACGGATATGATGAAAGCACAGAAACTCACAGAGTCTCTGTGCTTTCATCACAACTAGGATGTTGGCATTGAGGTGATACTTGGAGCACAAGTGGTTAACGGGGACCCCCACTTTTCAGCTCTTGGGCAAACGGGCTGAGAGCTGAAATTAGGGTTTGGGGGTCAAATTTTATGTTTTTTTTTTTTTTTTTTTTTTTTGCCTAGTTTTGGTTCAAGGTTGTTGTGTACCAAATTTGGTGTCATTTGGCGAATTGGGATTTCCTCCGCTAAGATTTCTGAAATTTCTCAAGATTTTTGAAACTGAATGTTGGCAAAATTTGCATGAAGGTGCACTTTTGCCTTGCTGTTTTATAGTTGTTGTTTTTTTTTTCGTTTTTTTTTTTGCAGTTCGTAAGTATGGTCTCTACTCTATGACTTGGTGGCAAGTTTGGTTAAAATCACCCTTGGATTTTGTTATAAATGGCATGACAAGTTATCTGAAAA